AACCCAACTCAACTCAACCCAACCCAACCCAACCCAACTCAACTCAACCCAACCCAACCCAACCCAACTCAACCCACAGATATAGAATGGATTCTGGTGAAGAATGGCCCTAAATAGGGTTTCTGAAGCTGTAAAACGTTATGAGAGCAAATAGCCTCATCTTTGATCCACAGAGCAGCTGGTGGTTTTGAACTGCCGACCTTGCCATTAGCAGGCCAATGCTTACCGGACAGGACCACCAGAGGTAATTTCCAAAGACCACCGTGTACCTTCAGCAAGCTCTGAAGGCTCTTGACTTGCTTCTGGGCCTCAGCAGCAATGCGGTTGGCATGGCTGAGCTGGATCTCCATCTCGTTGAGGTCGCCCTCCATCTTCTTCTTCACTCGCAGGGCCTCGTTGCGGCTGCGCGTCTCCGCGTCCAGGGACGTCTGCAGCGAGTCCACCACGCGTAGATGGTTGCGCTTGGCCTGCTCCATCTCCTCGTCCTTCTCTGCCAGCTTCCTCTCAATCTCCGCCTTGATCTGGTTGAACTCCAACTGGGCCCGGAGGATCTTGCCCTCCTCATGCTCCAGGGAGGCCTGGTGGAGGAGAGTGGGGGTGTTACAGGGTGGGGAGAGGGGAGAAAGGGTGCAGGACAGATGGTCAGGACCCAGGGGCAGGGAGGAATCTGCCCATAACTCATGGGTACAAAGTGAGTTCAAGAGTAGAGTAGGCACCAAAAAAAAAATAGAAGAGCAGAGTAGGCAGTTCAGCCCACGCAGAGAAATTGGGGAGAAGGAAGGCGAATTAAATTGAACACAAGCTTCGGAAAAGGTGCTTTCCTGGCCCTCACAGGGGAGAGCAAGGTATGAGACAAAGAGGAGAAATGAGGAGAAAGGTGTTGCCAAGGAAACGGAGGCAATCACGTGCAGGATGTAAAAAAGGTGGGGAGGGAGGCCGTGGTGGAGAGCGGGGAGGTCAGTGGGAATGGGAACAACTGTCTGAGATGTAATATGTACGATGTTTGTGGGCAGGGGGATCGGGACCTGGTCATTCATTGCGTCCACAGATACTTGTTGAGTGCCTGCTATGTCCCAAAGCTCTGAACAAGAGTCTAAAAGGGAGGTGAGAGCAGGAAGCACAGGCGGAGCTTGCCTCCCCTCCACCCTGCCCGCTGCATGCTCGCACACACAAACGCACACACGCATGCGCACCTCGGCTTCCTCCAGGGCCGACTGCAGCTCCATCTTCTCCGCCTCCAGCTGCTTACGGATCTTCTCCAGCTCGTGGATGCTCTTCCCGCTGGAGCCCAGCTGCTCAGTCAGGTCTGAGATCTCCTCTGTAGGGGTGGGGGCGGATCCTCAGTGGGGGCTGCCAGGGCCCCTGGCTGGGCATATCTTTTCGTGCGGGTGACTTTAGGAGGACTGGGTCACCCGACACGTGGGTCACTGCCACCGAGGCCATGCCCCGCCCCCCGACGCACCCTGGAGGTTCTTGTTCTCCCGCTTGAAGGTCTCCAGGTGCTCCAGCGACTCCTCATAGGCGTTCTTGAGCTTGAAGAGCTCCGTGCTCAGGGACCGCGCCTCCTTCTGCGAGGACTCCAGCTCGGACTGGGACTCCTCGTACTTCTGCTTCCACTCAGCCAGGATCTGCCCGGGGGTCGGGGTTGGGGGCCACTCACCGCGCTGCTCCCGCGCCCCTCCCCCACCGCCGCGGGACCCCTCCTGTGGGAGCTGCTCCAGGTCCTGCACCCTGCCCTGTGGTTCCTGGACCTCCTGCCTCTAAGGAGCGCACCTCTGGCCTCCCGCTGACCCGGCGCCCTCCCCTGGACCCCCCCTCCACCCGGGCCAAGGTGCTGCGCAGGCGGCCACCTTATCGAAGTTCCTTTGCTTTTTGTCCAGGGCGGCGGCGGCGGCGTTGGAGCGCTCCACGTCGACCATGAGGTCCTCGATCTCGTTCTGCAGCCGGTGCTTGGTCTTCTCCAGGGAGGAGCACTTGGCGTTGACGGCCTCCACGGCCTCCTCGGCATCCTGCAGCCGCTGGGCCAGCTTCTTCCTGCCCGGGGGGAAAGGTGGGCAGGGGGTGGGAGGCAAGGAGAAGCAACATGAGCCCTTGGGAAAAACGTCCTTGGAGACTAAGATGTACACTTGGTAGGAAGGCCGGGCACCAGGCAGCCTCTTGGGTGGGTGGGTGGGGTTGAGGACCCACAACCCCCAAAAGTGCCTTGCAGGCGGTATGCCGTGACCCTGCTATGCTGTGGCCTGGAGGAGAGCTGGGCTCTGGCTTCCCACCATCTCCTCCTGCCATGGCATCTGCCCAGGTGGGAGCACTCTGCCCTCAGACAAACCTTTTGTTCGTCTTATATTCGGATGAGAAACATAACGCGAGCAAAAAGCTTTCCTGAGAGGAGAAGGAGGTGGGCCCGGGGCAGGGTCTTCCTGTATTGTCAAACGGGCCCCAAGGTTCCCCTGGGCTGATCCTCTGCAGCTGGCCGGCAAGGCGGGGGTGGGGGGTGTACTGGCCGGCCCCTTCTCACCATGGCGCTTGGCCTGGGTTGTGCCACCAGCACTCACTTGGCCTCCTCCAGTTCCTCGGTCCTCTGGATGGCGTCTGTCTCGTACTTGGTCCTCCACTGGGCCACCTCACTGTTGGCCTTGGACAGCACGCGCTGCAGCTCCGCCTTGGCCTCCGTCTCCTCCTCGTACTGCTCCCGCAGTAGGTCACAGTCATGCCGGGCTGACTGCAGCGCGTGGGCCAGGGCATTCTTTGCCTGGGGGAACGAGGGGACCAGCGATGGACACAGCTCTGCCCACCAGGCAACCCCAGTCCTCGCCTGTGTCTTAGCTAGTCCCTACATGGTCCTGTCACCTCACCCACCACCACATGCCCGGTGGAGCTGGATGATTGATCCTGAGACCAGCTGCCAGCGAGCCAAGTCACCTGGGACATGGTGGGTGTCAGGGCCAGCTGTGCTGCAGAGGGCATTCAGTGGCTGCTGTGGGGGAAGGAGGTCACCAGCCCTTTCTTCCTGGGCACCTCTGGGTGCACGGCCGATCAGTAGGTTAGCAGCCGAACATGTGACCATTTGTACAGGTCTTGAGATGGATGGGACTCCCTGCCATGGCTTAATGGCTTCTAGCCACAAGGAAGGCTGATAGGCACCGAGTGATTTGCAGATTGGTTGGTGCCCGTTCCTCCTGTGCTCCGCACGCAGCAGGCAACGTTGTCATTGCTGTCTCTTTACAGGGGAGGAGATGGAGGCTGGATCCCCAGAACCACGCAGCTAGAAGAGACTACACTAGAGTTTGAAGTGTGCCCTCCCCCCACTTTTCTCCACTCACAATCTGTGCACTTTTTCACGAATCCAGTAGAGCACTAGGAATAGGCTCCCATTTGGCTTCTCTCCCCAGTTTTCAGATCACCCTGACAACCCTGGAGCCCGCTTGGGCCGGCCAGCTGGCACCCCACACCTCCGCCCAGCCTAAACGCTCCCACCCTCCTTCCTGATTAATTTCCTATCCTGGAACCCTCCTCCTTCCCCCTCCCAGGGGCAGCAGCCGAGAGCAAAGGGTCCTGGCTTGGGGGGATGGACTTTGGGGGCCTGAGATGGAGCCTGAGATATTAGTATTACATTGGGGGTTGGAGGAGAATAATGCAGGGACTGCAAGTCTCATTTGAGGGCGCGACAGTGCTGTGGGTGCGAAGCCAGGAGTGTGCTCCCTGCCCAGGCCAGGTGGCCCAAGCCCGGGCTCACCTTAACCTCCTCCTCCAGCTGCCTCTTGAGATCCTCCAGCTGCTGGGTGTAGGTGAGCTTGCCTCTGGTCAGCTGGGAGATAAGCGCCTCCTTTTCATCCAGCTGCCGGGACAGCTCCCCTTAGGAGACACCAGAGGTAGAGGCCACTGTTAGAGGTCAGGCACGCTAGCCTCCCCTCCCTGACTGTCAGGTCTCAGCTCCACGTAGACTCAGGGACCTGGTTTCAGGAGTCTGCCTAAGGCTGCAGGGGCTCTGCACGCGGGGCGTGCTGGGGCTGCACGCTTACCATTCTCGGTTTGCAGCTTGGCCCGGTGGCTGGTGAGGTCATTGACAGACCGCTGGGTCTCCTCAGCCTTGCTGCGGTGCTCGTTCATCTGGTCTTCCAGGGTCCGGCACATCTTTTCTAGGTTCGCCTGAGGGAGGACGCAGAGCCATGGAATGGGAGCAAAAAGTACAACCAATGGAGACGGGAATGGAAGGGTTAGGGACAGGACGTGGGAAGGTGGGTCATCACAGAAGACGGCCGACAAGAGAGTGGGCAGCCACCTTGGCCTTGATGATCTGCTCCATGTTGGAGGTGACGTCGTCCAGCTCCAGCTTGAACTCGCTCTTCTCCTTCTCCAGCTTCTGCTTGACGCGCTGCAGGTTGTCGATCTGCTCCCCCAGCTCCGCCACGCTGTCCGCGTGCTTCTTGCGCAGGGCGGCGGCCGTGGCCTCGTGCTGCAGCGTGGCCTCCTCCAGGTCGCGCCGCATCTTCTGGAACTCGGCCTCGCGCTTCTTGTTCATCTCGATCTGCACGGACGTGGCCCCGCCGGCCTCCTCCAGCCGCTCGCTGATCTCCTCCAGCTCGCGGGACAGGTCGGAGCGCAGCTTCTCCACCTTGGCGCGCGCGGTCCTCTCTGCCTCCAGCTCCTCCTCCAGCTCCTCGATGCGTGCCTGTGCGGGGTGCGGGGGCGGGGGGGGGAGCGCGAGGGGCTCAGACCCAGCACTCCGTGCCCCAACCACCGCCCCCGCCCCCGCCCCGCACCCTGAGAGACTCCTGGCCTGTCTAGACCAGTAAGTCAATTCATTTCCACCTGTCCAACTCCCAGACTCACTGCTGACCCTATAGGACAGAGTAGAGCTATCCCCTCGGCTTCTGAGACTTTAAATCTTTCTGCGGGTGGACAGCCTCATCTTTCTCAGGAGCAGCTGCTGCTGGGTTCCAACAGCTGACCTTGTGCTCACTGGGTAGCCCACGCCCCTCCTACATTCTATCAGTGAAGATTTGGAAATAAAAGGATTTTGGGAAAGTGGTTCAGATGTCTGAGGTAGCCTGCCTTCAGGCCAGGAGATTATATAAACATTCCTTTTATTGGAAGGCAAGGGGTCGAAGGTTACACTTAAACAGAGACAAAAAAGACATTGTTGGAAGGATGCTTTAAAAGTTCCCTGGGAAAGAAAAACACTCTTGAAAATGACAGAGCCACGCTTCTCTGCCCAACAACTGAAGCGTTGTCTCCCCTTGAGTTGAGAGCCGACGTCAGAGACCCCTGGGGCTGGAAGACACTGTAAAAGCCACCAGGTAGTAGGGGACATCAGGGAGACCCAGAGATCAGGAACAGGCTGCTCACAGTCACTGGGTTCCAGCGGGGCAGAGCCGGGTCCAATGCTCCCGCCCTCCAGACCTGTGACCCTTTCAGGATGTGCCCCAGCGCCATCCTTGGACAGCCCGGCTTCTCCTGCGTGCACTCCACGGGAGTACTGTGAGAGTGCGGTGTCTCTCCCCGCAGACACACAGCAAGCTCCTGAAGAGCCAGAGGGGAGAGACACAGGGACCGCCGGCCCAGAGGCTCTCACATCCACTGTGAGCCCCCTGACCATACCTGCAGCTCTTTGAGCTTCTTCTGCAGCTGGATTCCCAGGGCCTGCTCATCTTCTATCCTCGCATTGAGAGCATTCAGTTCAAAATCCTTCCTGTGAGGAGGGAGGTGATTAGGCAAGAGTGACTGGCTGGGCTCCAGGAGGCCCCACCAGGGGTTGCAAATGATAATCAAACAGATGGAAAGTGTGCAGGTATCAAAAAGGATACCAGGAGGGATGTAGTATCCCTGGAGGTGCAGCACCAGCTGTGGGCTTGAAGTACCCCCTGCCCCCCAGCCAAGAAATGCAACGGGAGAGTCCATTGTAGGCAAAGTGACAGGACCTGGGTGCTGTGGGGCTTTGGGCAAGGCCTTTCTCCCTTGGGGTCTTGCTTTTCCCCACTGAAGCATGAAAGAAAGCTGGGCTAGATGGTCTCAAAGATCCCTTTTAGCCCCGAGGGTCTTTGATGTTGTCAGCCTGTTCTTTGGGGTGGTGTGGTTCACCCATGTGAGACTGTGTTCCTCAGTGGCAACGGGAGGCTAAAAACACCATCCTTACAAGGTCTGAGGGCCATCCAGTCAACACATGGGTGCCTAGAGAAGGGTGGAGACTTCTAGCCGAATGCAAGACTGGGGAGAATGCAGACAGATCGTGGTGATGCTAGGAGCTTGTCAAAGCCCTAACCCTAAAGCTCCAGGAGGTCCCTGATGGTAAAGATAGTCTGCAGCCTCACTGTCGACCGAGCCTAAAAAGCGGGTCTACACAGTTTGGAAAGCCTTGACATAAGCATTGGAAATGGCCCATGTTTCTCTACTCCCAGGACATGGCCCGTTGGTGCTCTTCGGGTAACAGCCCAAAGGGACTTTCCTGCAAGGTGTCCAGTGTGCAGCCTTGCCCCCTCCATTCAGTCACTGGTGTCCAAAGAGCTGTGTGTGAAACGAAGGGGTGAGCTGGCCGTTCCCATCCCTACTGGAAGGGATGGAGGGAGGACTGAGGCCCTGCGTGTGTCTGATGGAGGGCAGTGCTCTTCCTGCGGCTGGTTGGCCGTGAGTTAAGCACCCACTTATCTGGGCTGCATGGGTTTGTTTCTCTGAGGCGGGGTGTCTTGGCTCCGCCTGTCCTGCCCCAGGCAGTGCAGGCTGTGTAACCCGGATGAGGAAATGTGGCTGGAGGAGAAATGAAGTACTTTTTCAGCCGCTCATCCAGCTGCTGCTTGTCATTCTCCAGGTCCATGATGCTCTCCTGCGTCAGCTTCAGGTCGCCCTCCAGCTTCCGCTTCGCCCGCTCCAGGTCCATGCGCACCTTCTTCTCCTGCTCCAGGGATCCCTCCAGCTGAAGGAGAGCAGGGCCCGCCATGCCCAGTGAGGTCAGCATCCTGACCTGGTGGTTTTCTAGCTCCGTCACTTCAAGGGGTGGAGGGATGCTAAACGAGGGTGCTGGGAATCTGGGGAACCTTCCCCAGAGTCGAGCACAGCTTACCAGGGGGATGGGAGAGTGCCTCACATGCAGGGGATGAAGGAAGGAAGGAAGGAATGTGGGATGACACCACCAAAGCTACATTTGTTCATTCATCACCCTGTAAATGCCGACTGGGTGCTAGTCACTGGGCACTGAAGATAGAACATCGAGAAAGTCTAAGATCTTGCTGGAAGAGAGCTTATGGTTGAACCCGTAAGTATAACACCCAGGGATCAGTGAAAGAGCTCTCTATGAAAGCAATGGTCACTCAGGATCTGACTTCTGTCTAGTGAGTTAGGAGCCCCCAAATCCTGCTTGAGAACCCTCACAAGATTCTCAAAGACAGGAATCATTTTCTCATAAGACAAACCTCTAAATCCTATGGCCGGTGCCAGCCATACATGGGCTTGAAGGGGACTGAAATAAGGAAGCCCAGCTGGACTACAGGATCATATCAGTCAGTTGAGACACACAGCTCAGAATCAATCACCCCTCCCTTCCTTTTTCCTCAGTTCCCTTTTAGGAAGGGATCACAATAGGAACACCCCCCCCCAAAAAAAAAAAACCACACCATGTGCACAAGTACACACACACACAACGATCTAAGCACAAATACATCTAAGTTTTGTGAGTTCCAATCTACTCACATCATCCACTTGCTGCTCCAGCTTGACCTTGGCCTTGGTCAGTGTATTGACCTTGTCTTCCTCTGCCTGCAGGTCATCCAGGGCCTGCTGGTGGGCTTCTTGGAGCGCTTTCTTCTCCTTGGTCAGCTTGGCGATGATCTCATCCAACCCAGCCATCTCCTCTGTCAGGTTCTTCACCTGCCAGGCGAGACCCCTTTCCCCATTAGGGCCCAAGCTGGCCAGTCTAGAGACATGTGTGGGAACCCCCGATGCCAAGGGCTCTGTCTCTCTCGGGATTCGCGGAGCGGTCCAGGCGGGTTTGGGAACCCTGTGGAAGCCCCCGGCGGAGCGGCGGGGCCGCCCTCACCTTGTTTTCCGTGGCATGCTTCTCCTTCTCCACTTTGGCCAGGGTCAGCTCCAGGTCGTCAATGTCCCTCTTGAGCTCCGAGCACTCATCCTCCAGCTTGCGCTTCTTGGCTGTGAGCTCCGCGTTCATCTCCTCCTCGTCCTCCAGCCTCTCCGTCATCTCCTTCACCTTGGCCTCCAGCTGGATCTTGTTCTTGATCAGCTGGTCGCAGCGCTCCTCCGCATCA